TAAACTGAGGTGCAAGCGAGTCAGCCGCCATGTCCATCTCATGGTCGTTCAGCGCAAACGCTTCTTCAATTTCGCGACGTGCTGCACCAACCACGCGACGATCCATGTACCTGAAAGATATGGCTTCTGAGCGCGGTATTTCATTTTTCGAGATTTTTAAAGTAGACCCTACGTTTTGATAGGTAATACTGTTGTGATTATGTATCAAAAGTGTATTACTGAATGAAGTTGGCATTCCACTCACTTATTTTCGTTCACCAATTTCAAATGCCGCATTCTAAACACATACCGTACTGGTAAAAAAATTGCCATTAAAATCAAATCACAGAGGATTCTCGAGTAATACTAACGTAGAAAAAATGACTTCAACAGCAAGGCTTCCGTAGATTGTAAAATCGTGAAGGTGCATGATAATCTTGAGCTACAATTTAATGTCCAACGTGCAAGGCTTTATGAGCAATGTCGTCGAGTTACTGCACCTCTTTTCTAGATTTAAATGTCCAAACAAAAATTTTCTCAAACGATCAGGTAATCAACTGACTTCTTGAAGAATTATCTGAAGAAGTCATTGCGCTTACAGGGGTTAACTAGTGCTCTAGCACAGGCTTTTACTACTAACCTTCGCTAGAAAGTAAGCTCATTCTCCCATACATTGCTCATAAAAACCAAGTTACTCGTCAGATACAACTTACGACCATCGCTTTTATGTACGAAAATCAAATTATTTATCAGTAATTTACCGTGATGTCACGGTAACCGGTTGCTCATATTTATCGCAGCATGCAGCATAACTGTACGCTTATGCATTAAGTTACGACATTGGTTTTCAGCGCGCGAATAACTTCATTCTTTTTCTGAAATAATTGGATGCCATAGTTGCTTTTGATCGTGGCTCTCTAGTAGAATGTTATGTTGCAGACCAGATATGTAATGAAAGATGAGTCGAACAAAAATAAACAAGAATTGATTTCACTTAAAAAAAGTGCTTTCAGTAAATACATTGTACATACCTATGGGACGTTCTGTGCAGAAAGACAATATGTCTATAGTTTGCGCGCATCGATGTTGAGCAGTCTTTGTACAAGTTTACTTTGAAGAAATCCAATCTTAGAAAAATACAAACTGCTTCTAAAGGACAATCCATAGTTTTACATAGCTTTATTATGGACTGTTGAAGAAATAGTAACCAGGATAAGTTTAACACCCGATCACGAATATGATTATCATTCTTCATGACACTTTCTTCCTCGCATTTAACCCATTACACCACAATTGCTATTCGCAAACTCTGTTGCTTTATTTTGTCCCAGGCATAGCGTTCGTCGTGATCTCTTACCTAGCGGCTCCATTAGACAGCCATTCTTTTTATGGTTCTTTTCTCTCCTATCACATGTCCATACCAGCGCAAACGCTCCGGCATCTTCTGGACGATTGGAGCAACCTTCTTGCATCTAATGTGTCAATGATGCAATGTCGTCACAGATGCGATCCTTCTTCGTACCATCTCCTAAGGTCCATCGCAACATACTAGTCCGCAAGACACCGAGCTTGCTCCCTTTTTTTCAGGTGCTCGGATATATCCACTGCCATGCAGGCTGTCGTTCGGATCAAAGTACACAACTGTGATCTAACATATAAGCATTTGTTTGTCATAGAGGATGCCTGTTCTCCACTTTAACCAGGCTGCACTTGTTCTGACAGACATTCGGTCTTTCCTCCTTCGGCGGATATGTGGCTTCATAAGCACTTTAACGACTTGTTTTTTTCATTGGCTGATGCTATGGTTCCAGAATTTTTGACTTCCCACACCATATACTCGGTCTTCTTTGCTTTGAGATTCAAACCGTGCAGTTCCAATTGGTTTCCCACGTTTGCACCTCTTCTTCAAGTTCTCCCCTACTCTCTGCCAACAAAACCACCTCATCCGCATACCGGAGAGTCCGTAGACGTTGTCTGTTGAGTTCGTCCGTTATTGCGTCCATCACTGTGATGAAGTGCAAGGGAGGGAGCACCGAACCTCGATGTACTCCCGGCATTGGTGCGGAACACTGAGCGGCCGGCTATTGTGGCAGCTTCGTGAAAAATCATTTCAATTCATTTGGATATTCTTCCGGGACATTGTGTTTTCGTGCCCACCTTATAACGCTATGAAGCATCTTGTCGATGCTTTTTCGAGTCCAGAAAGCATGTAACCCTTTCTTTTTTCCCAATACTTTCCAATCACTATTCGCGCAGTCTCGGTGGCGTCAGTAGTACCCTTTACAAAGCGACACTGACTTGGACAACTTTATAATTATTGAAATCTTTTCTCGAGTATTATTTTGAAGATCTTCAGAGTGTAACGTATCAGCCGAATTGACCGTTATGTTGTACCGTTTGCACATCACCTTTGTCCATATTGGGATCGTTGTACTGGTGGACCGATTTCGAGGCATTTTCCTACTTTTGACGAACTGATTGAGGGGACTTGGGAGCCAAGGGACGCTATGCTGTCCACACTCTTTCCAGAACTCGCTGAGATATGATCTGGAGCAGTTGCCTTACCGTGGGTTATTTCACTCCTGCTTACTCTCCTGCAATGGATGGCAGCGGTTCTCCTACAAGATTACCTGACGCGATGTTAACAGTGGGCTCTGGTACGCGTACGTCCGCCATCTTTCCAGGATATTCTGTGAACTTCTCAGAGTTTTTCCAACCTGTCTTTCAATTTTGGTAGAAGTGCTCCACATCTTTTGCAAAATTTTCTCTCCTTCGCGCGATTCGACGTACTTCTTGTTCTCTACTTCGGGTTTCCAAATTCTTGTAAAGCTCTCCTATGTAAGCCTGCTTAGCTTTCTTCACACAAGCTTCTGCTTTATGCTT